GGTAAGTAACATGTTGAGTCAGGCGCCGGTGACCCTTTGACCCTGGAGGAGGTGGAAAATAAACAGTATGGAGACAGTTGGAAGCATTTCATCCAGACGGGGAAAAGTGAACTAGATAAACAAATCTACTCGTTACTATTAGTCACTGATGACACTGACGTCTAAGCATGTAGAAACTCTTCAAAATAAAATATAGTACAGCTCCTTATAAGGCTTTAGGCCAGGGGTGTCAAACATCAGGCTCGGGGACCAGAATCAGCCTGGCAGAAGAGAAGAAGGACACAGATTTTAACTGTATTTTCCTACGTTTACAATCTGTTTTCTAGTTGTTTCCTTGTGTATCCATTATCATAAAATATAACACAACATCTTAGCGTGAGGACCTGCTGCGGTGGTATTTGACTTGTTCGATCTTGACTTGTCTTTTTGACATTCCCATGAGCCTTTGCTTCCTTCTGTCTTTGTCTGTCAGAGTTGGAGTTTGACCTCGACAAAGCTCTGGAAGAGGTACCGATCCACGTCGAGGACCCTCCTCTTCCTTCTCCTTCACAGCTGGACAGAACGTCAGCGTACTATGAAGACCTCCCCCCTCCCCCGACTCCACAGGACGTAAAATCCGCCCCGCTGGCCGAGCTGCCGCCCATGGAGCACAAAACTCTGGAACATCACACCAAATCCCGGCCAAAACCCAAGAGGACGAAACCCGCTCGGCCACACGTAGGTCTCTAACATCCCCAAATCGACCGCCGGGATGGATGTTTGGGATTTGTTTTGTGCTTTTAGTGTAAACTCATCATCGAATAATTGATCTCTGTTCGTCTCTTTCAGCGGGAGGCCACGGGCGGCTCGGCGCCACAGGAAGCAGAGCCGAACAGCATCATGGGAAAGCTGGACGAGGGCTTGGATGACTTCTTCTCCAAGAAAGTCATTAAACTCGGCTTCAAGTGAGCATCGTGCCAAAACTGTTTTACATATTTTCAGTCTTTAAGTAATCTTACTTTTAAAAGTAACTTATTACAATAGTAACAATACATCACGTTACCTGAAAACAGCAGTTTGCTAAAGTACAAATATGCATCTTTGTATTTAGCTTGGCAACCGTGGTTCAGGGGATTGGGAAGCTTGTCTTGTAACCGGAAGGTCGCCGGTTCGATCTCCAGCTCTGTCTGTCCTGGTTGTTGTGTCCTTGAGCAAGACACTTCATTGGTTGATGGCGCGATTTAGCAGCCTCGCTTCTGTCAGTCT